ATCCTCTCTTGTACTTCCTTAATAGGAAATTACGTGTTCTTTAAATTTTATTCTTAAAGGAAGGGCTTCCTTCGGTTTAAAAAAAGTTTATAAATGACCGAATGATTTTGAAAGCTACCGACTGCTAGAACTGAATTCAAATTTTATAAACTGGATGCTGTGTTCATCCTGTTAAAGGAAAAGTACGCTTTTGCCTATGGTTTGAGTAAGTGGTTGCATAGCTCTCACAGGATTTCGCAATACACACGGATCATGCTGTACATATCAGTGGCAACATTAGTAAATTGACGGATACGACGTATTATGAATGAACACCACACAGTCGTAAAAAAACTAAAAATAATAAATTTTTTAAAACCAAAGTAAACCCTTCCTTTAAGAGTGAAATTTAAAGAACACGTAAGAGAGGATTTTTTGTGCATGCTTTCCATAAAATATATTGAATCTATAAAGGCAGTCAAAATTAATGACAAAAATGCATACTATTTAAGTAGCCATTTTTACAGAATCAACTTTCCCACAGCAGCCAAAAAGAAGCTCATCACAGAGTCGGGATCCTAGCGTGACTGAAAATAACTGAAATTGGACTGTCGCCCATAGGGGGAAAGTGTGTAACAGACAGGACTAGCATGCTACTGAGGATGTTTGAGGTATTTTGGTAGGATCCTCTATATCACCCGGAACGCTTCTGTGGGGTCATAACGATACCCTGAACCAAATACGCGAACGAAAATGAGCCTCTTTATTTTCTTAATGTCCCCTCTTCTCAGCCATACCGGGGAGGAGTTACCTCATTCCTTTGGATTGATGCTAATTCGTGCGACCAATACAAACCTACCCCACATAATCAAGTAAATGAACGTGGAGTTGGCCTAAGCTGTCAACTTATCCTTAACATCTCCGCGTAAAACGGGGTTGGTTAAGAATACTATCCAAACCCTAGTTGCTACGGGAGTTCAAGAAATGGCTTGGTTAAGGAATCGCCGCAAGAGTTCACTTGCCGAAAGCCCCTAGTTGATTGCCAAAACGTCAGAGATCTACGGTTTGTCGGATAAGTCTGTGAACTTTTGAACTGCTGCAATAGCTCCTTTGACATATTACATTTATGACAACTGCGCTTCCATCAGAACCCGGGGATCTTATTTATAGGTAGGTCTATATGCTTGATGGACACGGGCTGCACGTGGAAAAAAGAGATATGAATTTAGCCACGGCACCTGCCCCGATCACAGTCGGTTGCGGTCGCCTGTCATTGTTGATATCTTATGTAAAAAGAGAGTTGGAAGAAGAAAGAGGATAATATTGGGAGATTTTCCCTCACACCCAAGTTACTATTGGGTGCATGGTGTACGGGTGCTTCTTGGCCTTTGTGGAGAATGTATCAAAATAAACACATGTGCATTTATAAGTTGCAATACATGGATATCTCTTAACGTGCTCAGATCTTACCACTCCCAAATTGACATCCAGACAAACATAATG